ATAAAGACGGCAAGAGAGCGGTAGTGAAAAAATAAAGAAAAATTCTCCAAACGTTTATTGGCAGGCTATTTTCACGGCTGTTGATTTATTGTTTAAGTGGCGTTGCATTAAAATCGAGTCAAATATGGGACGGGGGTGGGGGGTTGGGTTTTAAGAGGAGTTGGAAATATGAAGAATAAAGAGACAGAGAGAGAGAGAGAGAGAGAGAGAGAGAGAGAGGGAGAAGATGAGGAAGACAAAAAAAGAGGAAATAATGGAAGAAAAAATGTGGGATAGAGTGAGAATGAGAGTGAGAGTGATATATATATATATAGTGAGAGAGAGATAGAGAGATAGAGAGTATCTAGATTGCGAAGGCGTTTGCTTACTCGATCGCTCCATAGTGCGTAGCCCATAAAAATCTGCATCGGCCAAACGCTCGAGATTATTCAAAAGTGCTAGTTTGCACGTTAGAGATGGCTTTGGCGCACAAAATGAAAAGGCCAAAAGAAAGAGAAAAGGATTATAGCAAATTAATTTATGGTCGCATTGTGAGTCATTTCTTTTATAGGACACAGTAAGTAGCGCCTGCGATCATTATTCAGCGGGACACAAAGAAAAGCCGGTTGAAAGAGCAATGACTCTTTGCAGCTTCGGTAAAGGAACACAGCCGCCTATTTTACCGATGCCAAAGCCAACTAACTGCTTCGGCTTCCTATTACAATTATTATCGGCCAGCCACGTGATTTTCTCCCTCGTTCGCGCTACTTTTTCCGAATATAAATCCGTGGCTCCTTCGCCCCTCAACCTCATCGCCGCCGCCGTCCCGACCAAAGGACGCTACGTCTATTTCGGGGCGGGGGAGGGGGCGAGGTGCGGGTAGAGGGTAAAAGACGGCGGCGGCAGCGGTAAAAAGAAGCAGCTCCGTCGATCTCCTCGAAACACCAGCAGGAGGAGGCGCGCGCATCCGGTATGACGGAGACGGCCCGTCGGTTTGGAAAAAAATCGCGAGCGACAGGGTGCATCGAAGAGGCAAGGAAGAGCAGCGCCATGTGTTGTTGGTGAGGGGATGAGCCCCTCGTAAAATCCTCCTCGGAAGTCTCGCCACGGGTACGTGGGCGTAACGAAATCGGGACTGACCAC